TCCATTCTTTCAGATGAGATCTACGTGTCGAAACGAGTGGTAGTGATCACAGAAATTTGTAGTTTCCACGGTATCATTAATGGCTCCCTTTTCCAGATGTCAGTAGATGCCGAAATTACTAAAATAAATGAAGGCATAGCGAAAGTGCAGCTGGCGCTTTTCAAACTTGACAATCAACTCGATGGGATACTTCAGAACCTCAATGGAAACCTTGGCGATTTTGATAACGGGGTGAGTGTTAAAATTGTGTTGTGCTTTAGAACGATCCCAACTCCTCACCTTCAGTTCCGGTTGTGGTCACAGAAGGAACAAGCGTTGGTAAAGAGGGGAGAAAAAGCTCTGCTTCACCACAAGGTGAAAATCATGTACTATTATCAAGTACCAGGGACGATGATGAAAGACTTTACACCCCAGAAGCTCACATTAGAGAACTTTTTGGGAACGGTCAAGTTAAAGCCTATCAGCAAGCTGGGCACCATTCTCAATAGCCCGACAATGACTCCTCTGGGAATTCCTCAAGAGTTCCATTCTTTGGTTAGGTCATATCGGTTTGGCATCATGAGCCATTTGGTTGCCATTACCATTTGGTTTAGCGCCAAATCCAGACAGCACCCATGGGCCAACCAATTCGAAAAGCAGTGAAGGTAAAAAAGCGTTGGTCGTAGTAGAAGCGACTATATTTCAGAAATGACTTTGTTGAGAACGATTTAGAAAAGCACTGTTTAGGTTGACAATGCCGTCGGAAAGGTCAACGGCGTTGGACAGGACATCATAAACATATTCAACCACGTGAGATTTATATACTTTTCCTCCCCTTGCTGTTTTGGAGCAATTAAAGGCACATTCCGCGATAAAATAAGGCTATGACCTCTCAAATGTGTCGGACGATCCGGAAGGCGATTTTTGAGGCTGCGCTACTTTCAAAATGTGAAAAACGGCAAGAACTCCGCTAGAAGCTGACTAATTAGGCCCATGGACACCCCTTAGGCCCATGCCGACCTCACAGAAGACCTCCCGCTTTGCGTAGCCTACTACAGCAGTAGCCACTATGTTATCTTTCTCTATAACATTTCGGACTGCTTTTTCTGCTGCTTTTCTCCGCTAATCAGATACTTAGCACTTTTTTGTGCCTATTTGAGTTCCGTTTCCCGCAATTTGCGGTCGCGAACTGTGCCTTTAACCGAGCTTGGTTTTTTCTCACTGAGGCTTTATGTTATTACGATGGCGCATGCTCGAACGAGGCTCGACTGAATTACTGAATTGAAATCGGGCACTGGTTACGGTAAAATAAAAGGAGCGACACTCTTTCTGCACCCATCGAGGCGGGTAATGAAAGAGAGTACCAAAATATCAGTTGCCAGTTCGACTTAGGCGGAGCACGCAAATGAGTTTTAAGACGAAAGCCTAGTACAGGCCAACTCGTGAATACACTACATTCATGAAACGAGGTTGTTTACTTATAGTATTCTAGCTTCGCGACTGAGTTTCACGTCCAGCGAGTGTGAATTTGAATCTGAACATCGCTAATAAGACGCACATAGCAAAGGTGCAAAATGCCTCTTCCAACCGAACAGCGCCTGAAATTGTTGTGATATCCTTCTGGAGTTGTTTTGTAATGATAAAAATGCTCAACGCAGAAGTTTGCGCACCGAAACTTTTCTTGAATGTTAGGTTATAGGCAAAGGCTCTGACAGAGGAGACGACAGTACACAACCTCAACGCTTTTCGACAGGTGCGCCCCTCGGTTGACCTCCAGAGCCGGCCTCTACCCGCTTCACAGGCTTGACGGCTCCTGAGAGTAAAACCTTGCGCTCCCCGAAAGTGTGCTGTAAGACTACGGCATGGAAGCTGTTAAGATAAGAGGGTCAGAGGCATTCCGAATGGCGTAAATAATAGCACACGCGCATAGAAACCGTGAGGTGCCCTTTGAAGTCTCGCCTGGGATTGATTTTTTTGTTCACAGCTCAGCATTCTTGTGGCAGTATCGTTAGGGTTGACCTCAGAAGTTTTCCCGATCAGTTTGTAGCGAGAGGCTGCAAAGAGGCGGGATAACTATAATTTATCTCGTCGCAGTCAGTCGGGGCGGTGTTGGGAAGGCTCTAATGGGCCCTTTCCCAAGTGCATTCTCTTACAACAGTAATCGGTTAGTGACTGATCCAGGAAGTAAACAACAAATGGTGAAACATTCCATGGCACCTAACACCCCCCACCCCGGACAGGTAGCGACATATAGAAATGGTCACTACGGCCGCGCTGGTCTCTTCGTGTCAATGCAGCTCGGATCCCTTGACACATGCATCCGCTCCTCTCCTTATCCCGTGGATTGCGCTTTCGCTCTAACTGTCTTTATGGGTAATTTGTCATACTTTCATCAGTCGAATCTTAGCACTCTTTTTCAGTTTCCCGGCAAAGCAGTGTACTACTCGATACTCGTGATGATTTTGGTGATACTAAACCTGTGTTGCTTGTATATGATTTACTATATCTATCGATGGGTACTTGAACGTGACTTGCGGTTCGACAAAGAACTGCGGCGGTATAAAAAGAAAGTATATCGACTCATCGATGAGAACAAGTGAGACTTTTTCATGATACCGTGATTTTGATGTTGTTCGATGAAGCGATTGATCTCGTCAGTTGAGCTCCTATTTTGAACTCGTTAGTTAACTAGAATGGAGAAATGGCCTATGCAGTAAGCAGTAAGAGTATGGGCGACTAGGTGCTCGACTCGATATTCGACTTCGACTAAATGTTCCTACTTTTGTTGGCAACAATTGACAGAGACCGTGAAGAAACTGTGCCACCTTGGTCGAGCTTCCTACTGTAAGGACTGGAGCGCGGAGAAAATCTGTGTTTCACTTAGGTACTGCAAGTACTTATTTCTTAGCAGCTATTGTACTTGGTTAAATTACTTCAGGGCTCGTCCTCACTTATGTGCGAGTACCAGTTTCCGTTTTTCGCGGCAGCCATCCACGGTCAACTCAAAGTCTGCGGAGATGACGATCTGGGATTTCGCTCAGCCGCATGCCTAGCCGCCTTACGTGGTTGGCAAGGGCATCTCCCCATCATGCAGCAGGTCTTCTGCTAGACCATGAAAGTCTGGCGGAAGACCTTTTGTCTGTCCCTGAGCTATCCTAGCTGACGGACACTACTCTCTCTCACTCTCTCAGATTGCCTGACTACGCCAAGCAATCACAACTCAGTGAAGCTCGAAAAGGAATTCTTAACAAGGAGCCGAAGGAAAAACCTTGCCTCTGAAGAGTACTCAGAGAGTAAAACTTTCCCCGGCACGGACTGACAGGCTAAGTGGGTGCTTTGAACACGTACACTGGGCCCTTGTCCCAAGCGTGTGTCTAAAGCCTTTTTCCGTTAAACAGCAGTGTCTAAAAAGTCGGGGGGCTTGACGTTCAAATGGACTTATAAGGTCGCGCCATAAAAAATAGATCGTGGACCATGGCGACGTTGTCCAAAAAGCTAGACGACTGGTGTATTCGACCATCGAAGCGATAATCTCTTCAATCCCGCACGCAAATGAATCAACCGTAAAAAGTTATGCTGTTGCGAGCTGACTCAAATACTGTAAGTCGTCTTAAGATCGACGGCGATGACGGACGCCCATCGCTTTATCATGAACGTTGGAGCTCACGAGGGGTGCCTGTTGTTGCTTATTGACCAACATCTTAGCAATATGTTGACATAGGCTCTCTATGTACCGCGCAAGCCGCTGCGAAATAAACTTTGATGAAATTCACTAGCAAAGTGTTTCCTCTATCGGTGGAATATTCTAAGAATGTACGTATTTTGTTCTGGACTCAGTGAAATAAATCGCGCAACTTTGGTCAGTGCAGTAAAATATGTGTGCTATTACCATGTTTCAGAGTAACTACGAGCCTGGAAAACATCGAAACTCCACCTCCAACTTATGATGAGTACGTGAGGACGGCCGATTCGTGAAATACCGCAGGAAGGTAGGGGCTTAGGTATACTCTTTAGGTGCTTTCTCACGGCTTTAATGGTTCACTATACCGTCATCGAAGGGTAAGTACCTTCCATGTATGTGCACTTGGAGACGAACTGTAAAACCTCCTTCGTAGATCCTAGTACTTGCCATGCGTGGGGAGAATGGGTCCGCAGCTGCGGTAGCGTAGCACTTTCTCTGAAAAAAAGTGCATGGGAACGGGGTTGGAGGATAGCGATACCTGTGTGCCATCGTCTGGCTCCGCCCGCGTCGCTGCACGGTCAGCCACTAGCCATGTGTGCAGCTTGTCCACACCTAGGAGAGCGATAGCGCTGGCGAAGTATGGAGTTGCCACCCAGGTACCACTACTTTACAGCTCCACCCCGTGCATTTTTGGGGGAAAAGGTGGCACACTTCTGCAGCTGTGAACCCGTTCGCATCCCACCTAGCAAGCACCGTCTTCGGAAATGACTGTATAGCTCGTCTTTGAAGGTTCTCGAGAGCTGAAAGGTAACACACGCACATCTCTTTACCCCACGTGTCAGGAGACCATTGGTGCTTACTCTGTTGGGGAATATTTTCTCTGGAGCAAGGCAAGGTAATAATTTAATGAAGTGATCAAAATTTTCAACAGTGCTGTTGGTTCACGAATCGTAGACAGACGCACGGATATGGGAACAGGGTACAGCATCGTGATGGTGATGACAGTACGACCTCCCCCTCGCCAGCACCTACCTATCAATTTCCCACATTTTCCAGTTTCCAGTTTTCCAGTTTTTCATCTCCAGAGATTTTCCATAGAGAGCGGGGTGGGGGAGGAACGATATATAGTACACATGAAAGCAGGAAAAGTCTACAAAAGGGAAAAATTTTTTCACAGTGCGGCAAATTTCTGTCAAAGGCACATACGACCCCTTCCCTCTCCCAACGACCAAATAACGACCCTTTCCCCCTATGTGTTTCACTCAATGATGCCGTACCTTGTATGGGAAAAAGAGCCTTGCGCTTCAGAAAGATATTTTAGTAATTGTTGTAGTGAACTCAACTGCACAACCGACTTTCAATTGTTCTGAATTCTTCGTTGACTGGACTCGCAACTAACAATGTTGAGGGCGATTAGAAGCGCCGCTTGTCACATATCCTCCGCCTTTATGTGAACCAGAGCACATTTCATCTTGAAGATGACAGTTCGCTGGTTTTCGCGGAGGCCTTGGCGCAGAGCTTGCTCCATTTGGTCGTTTTGCAAAAGCATTTCTTTCTCAGGTCTTTGAAAGATGAGGAAATCAAAAAACTAGCGATCTACTAGTTATTTGCCCCTTCCCTTTCCTAGGATTACCTCCCCTCCCCCTAGGATTCAAAAATGTATCCAAATTTGGAGAGCCTGTTCTCACTGGTAGGCTCAATAGTGGGGCAAACATTTTGAGATTTCGTGCAGCCTACAAATGTGCATGTCATTTGTATAGGATGGATCAAACTTTTCAGGCTACTCTTCACAGGCGTCAGCGACTACCTCATAGATCTCACGGATCTCTTTATATTTGTGTCCTTCACTCTACGAGTACTGTATATTGTGCCTCTACAGATATGTTGCCATGGAAATTTGTTTTTGTCGACGTTCGTTATTTTATCGAGGACAGATCCGTTTTTTGTTCGCGTCGTTGTTTTAGTGTTCGTTTCACTAACCGTACAATTGCCACGCTTCATA